TAGAAAGTGACGTAGTGGAGGCGGGAACCATACATAGTTTTAAGACTAGGTTTGATAAAGCTCATGAAGCAGGGAGAGAGAGGACCCAGTAGCGACCAGTGAAGAGGCGGGGCCAGAAACTAAGAATCGACCCCTGCAACCACAAATAGGGGAGTACACACATACACACACACACACACACACACACACACACACACACACACACACACACACACACACACACACACACACACACACACACACATACACACAGTAATGCACACACTTGGTCTGGCACAATAATATAGTCATTTTTTGTCTTTGTTTATAGATGTCTAAAATTGCATCTATGGCATAGGCTAGTACTAGGATATTTCTGGTATAGACTAGTGCAGTATATTTCTGCTTCACACCCAGACCCTCTTTACTGTAAAGCAGAAATAAAATCCCCCAATTCTCTGTGTTATTGTATATATCTGGATAAGACAATCATCAGTAGCTTGACCGGTCAGACTGTTCCACGACCAGTGGATGGAGGATCCAGCACATTAGCAATCTGTCTTTATAGCTGAGTATTCAGGTCAGGAACAAGTCTGGATTGAGACTCAACCTCGAGTTTCATCTTCGAGACAGCCTTGAGAATGCCTCGAGACTCAGCTCATTCTTGAGACTTAGTCTCAAGAATATCAGTTTTTGGTAAACTCAACATCCTTCGCTGTTGGATGTGACACTCCGTCACCAGGTAGTGAACTTCACTTCCTCACAAGCCAGAATAGCTAGTACCAAATTCAGAGAGCAACATTTTGCCCGTAAGTGATACTGGATTCGAAGGATGGTCCGTTGGCGTCCCGGGTGATTCCGAGCGATTCATTCCCGATTCTGATTCCAGAGTGCATTCGATTCCAATTCCGACGATTTCATTCCATTTCAAGGATTTCATTCCATTCCGAATCCATTCCCTGCAAGAAGAAGGAGAAGCGTGAGGACGTCGGCGATTTCACTCTGAGCACTGAGACCCAAAGTTACATTTTTTGGGTTATCCTGAGTTGATCAGAGCTGAGAGGAAACTTGCTTGCTGTCACTTCGAGGATAAGGCTGTGACTAACGTGCTTATTAGCCTCACGCTCCCCCATCACTCCCACACCTCATCCTACCCCATCCTACCCCGACAATACCCCAACCATTACACTGACGTAACCACAAACACACTTTACACTGCTGTCCTTCTACCTTTCCTGTCTTCTTTTTCGGCAACTTCGCCTCTGGTGATTTAAAACAAGCAAGGTACTATCTAGTAGCCCGTGTGGTATTTTAAACTCTGGTCGCTCATTCCTAATTCAGCTGACATTCATACGTCAGCTGAATTAGGAATGTAGGGCACTTAGGAAAGTTCTTCATTCTCCAGCAACAACGTACCATACTGGGCAACTTGCCCAATATTAGAGTCAGACTTCGGGTCAGTGATGGCCAGAAGTCCAAACAGGAAATTTTAGGCTGCATTTGTACTAATGGTACGGTTCCACCGGTGGATATATTTCAGACCAACTCATTTGCAGTACTACTGCTTTCCTCGGAAGAGGAGATACTCCAGTTATTAAAAAAAATGTTCTCGACAAACTCCTCAATGAGGGTATCACCCCCATTCCTCCAGACAACCTCCAGGTCTAGCGCTCTGTGTTTGTTGCACGCATTAACAGCTTCATGTGTGAAAATTCTGCTGAAAAACTCTTGGAGGAGATAAACAGTGCAAACTCCGAGATCAACGTCCTTAAGGTGTATAAGTTTGTAAAGAACTCGAACAACCGTCAGTCTCTGAAATTAATTCTCGAGACGCCAGAAGAAGCCAAACTCATCTGTGACAACGGTTTTTGAGATGCTGTGGTACCAAATGCACACCCGACCAAGTATCTATGGAAAGGTTTTCGAACATCACTCAGTGCTTCAAGTGCTATGGTTTCGGCCATACTATAAACAAATGCACCAGTGAAAAAACAGTCTGCAGCATCTGCTCAGAACATATTTGCAGGGAATTCTCATACAGGAGCAAACCCAAGTGTGCCGTTTGTGGTGGGAAACACCATGCTGTCTCCCCTAGTTACCATGTTAGGAATTCCACAGTCCAGAAAATTCTGGAGGAAGACAATAAACTGGCGAATACCATGAAAACTGGACCTCCTCCACTTCCCAAGCCCACCAGCCTAACCCTGGCATGCAGCAAGCCCAAGGTTCATTATCTTACCCTATTTCCCAAGGGTCCATCCGAGGAGTAATGAAGGGGACTCTGATATACATAATGGCCCGTGACATGGCATAGGGCGATGACCCGCTTTGTTCTACCATCATCAACGAGCTTTTATTAGCAAATGGAGCCCCAGCAATAATCGTCCCAGATAAAGTACTCTCATTAATGAATCCCTTCCCTCAACCCGTGGTGAATGTATTCCCCCACAACACCCACATCTAACCAATCCCCCTCCAGCAGGGAAGAAACGACCCTTGCACCTGAACCAGTCACTGCACAATCTGCCGCCGTAGAGGCTGACTGCATTGACCAATCAGGTTCCAGTCCTGCTCTGAGTGATGCAGCCACTGGATATCCAGCTCAGCTCACCCTCGTACCTTTCCACGAAGATAACCCATTGTCTCCCATCACGGAGGTGGATGGGAATGATGACCCAGTGCACTTTGGGAACAAGGAAACTGACGTGTCCATAGATTCAGATGACGAGTCTGTTTCGTCAGCTAGTGCATCGAACACTAGGAGCATTGATGATGACCAAAAATTCTGTTCTCGGAGAACCACTCAGAACTATAGCCCCCTTCCCCTAACGAATCGAGCAGACACCAGGTGGCTATAACCTCAGACCACAATACTCTACATGCAGCATTAACGTAAAATACGCTAAATAATGGGGAGTGATCTCCCCGAAGAGATAGAAGACTGGGTAACACCTGAACCATCCTTTGTCCTAAATGGAGAATAATATCCCCATTAATGGAGACTTTACTAGAAATAATCTACGGCTTAGAACTAATCTTGTATCATTTGTAAACACTGTATACAGGATACCACCTCAGAAACAGTTAAGCCAACCAACAACTCCAGGAAAGAGCCGAACTCCATCAAATGCCTTGCAACCATTATCTTCAGCAAGCGCCTTAGAGCCTTCGTCTTGCGTCGATAAAAAAAAGCTGGTATAACTGTGTGCAGCTGATGGGAAGTTGGGTATACCCCATTTTATGAATTTTATGTATTCACGAAGTATGCTACAGATACATACCTGTATTAAAATGCTCCAAAGTGGTGAGGCCACTTACCTTAATTATCCCACCTAACCTCCCCCCCACCCACCTTTTTTTCTATATTCCCATCCTTACCCATCCTTCTTCCTTTCCCATCTTACCAATGCTCTGGTAATTCAAGCTCAAGTGCCCTGGGGTCAGGTAAGGGTGCTGTAGATATCAGGGGTCAGGGAGGATGCAAAAATATGAATACCACTTTTCATGATTGTTTTCTTAAATAGAAATTGTATAATCTTCAGAACCAGGATCCTCAATTTTCCTGAATAGCCTCTACAGGATAGACTGAGCCAGGCTCAGGCAACAATAGAGTTGGGAGACCGGAAACACCCCGGGAGTCTTACCCCCATTTTGATGCCACCCCCGAATCCGAAAGGCAGCCCCTGTAATACTTTTATCATCCAAGGACACGTGACGCCGCCCTGGGGAATCCGGAGGGCTATTCAGCGCATCCCCAGATAATTCAATTACTACTTCCAGAGACAGGTATTTTAGTACCAGCAAGAACAAAAAAAGCTACCAAGAAATGACAGAAACATTACACTAACACGAATCACTACTGTATTGGAACCACAGTCAGTGGTCCCCACACCAGAACAACAGATATTTGTACCAGTAAACAAGCCCCCCCTACATATCATACGACATTTACCTTGGCAAATATACAGGGCCTAAACCCATCAACAAACAACAAAATGCCTTTCATCAGTGGATTGCTCATGGAGTCAAATGCAATGTTTGTGGTTCTCACAGAAACCCGCACAAAGGATCATCACTTTGACAACGAAACATGGATCCCAAATTATAACTTATTCAGATGCAACAGAATAAACAGGCATCAAGGGAGGGTTGGCATGTTTGTCAGTAAAGATTGAAAACCAAAATCTTGTCATTGTGGTTGTATATAAGCCTCCAGATGCAACTTCCCAACAATTCCAGGACAGCTTTTGAAAACTGACCACTGTCTGGAAAATCACAACTAATATTTTAGCAGAGATAACCCCATATTTCGAACACAGGTACTGAATGGCCTTTGAGACCTGGTCGTGATGGAAACTGGAACAAAAAACTCAACAGTAGACTATAATGTATATTTTGCCTTCACCCACTGTATACATGTATATATATGTACACTATGTACATATAGAATAATAATAAGTGTACACGACGGTGACAGACTGCAAAGCAGAAGCCAGAGAGAGTGCACCGTGCACAAACAGCAGGTAGGCAAGGCTGCCAAATGCTTACCACAGGTGAACAACGTTGCTTCAGCTTTGGCGGGCTTGCCTATGATTGGTAAATGAACCGAGGTACTGATTTTATGACGGGTACCCTATTGATCATTAAACCTTTACCACCCGGTTCGCTGGTTGGGAGGTAGCCTATATGGGAGTGTGACATAACCCGAATAAATTGTAACATACTTTTTGTATGCCACACCCCACCCCAAAAGGGCTCCAATAGCTAGGACTAGGCCTCCACCTCCATGAGTAGTGTGCCGCCATGGCACTGAACAATAATGGAACCGTTTTTCCTCTCAACCATCCAGCTCATCAGATAGGGCTCAATTTTTCTCGAAACTTAAAGTCAAACTCACTCCTAGAAGGGGGGAAAAGATCCAAGCTTCCCATATGGTCCCTAACACATCCTAACTTAAATTAAACACGAGAAAGGGAATCAGCCAGCTCATTTTCCTTGCCAGCAATATGGACAGAGTTTACTATTGTAAGGTTGCAGCCTGAGACTCCAATACAACAGATGTGAGTTGTTGTTTTTCATGGTGTTGATGTAGACCAGAGGATTGTGATCACTATAGACTGTGACCACTTGGGACGACTGCCCCATGTAGGCCATGAAATGTTCCAATAGAAGTATGAAAGCTAGGGCTTCTTTCTCAATGGTGGTATAAGCCCTTTGGTGAGGTTGATACCTGGCAGGGAAGTAAACGACAGGCTGCAACCACTCTTCCCCAGAATTTTATAGGAGTATTGCCTCTACCCTTGACTCACATGCATCAGCCTGTAATACAAAAGGTTTTGAAAAGTAGGGAGACAGACGAATGGGTGCAGTACAGAGTAGCCGTTTGGCTTTGTTAAAGACCTCTTCACACTCTGGGGTCCATTGAAATTTTTGTTTCTGACTGGTAAGTGAGATTAGTGGGCTACAATATCTGCAAAGTTCTTACAGAATCGTCTGTAGAAACCTACCATCCCTAAGAAACGCTGGAGGGATTTGACTTAGGGGCTACTTTACTATTACCTATTTCATGGCCCAAAAAAGTAATAGAAGACTGGCCAAAGTATGACTTACAGAAATTAACAGTTAACTGAAACTCTTAAACTTCTCAAAGAAATCTATAAGTGGGGAGACATGTTGGCCCACATATCAGAAACTACTACTATATCTTCCAGATAAGCTGCCGTGCCTTCAAGTCCTTTAATAGCCTGATGGATCAGCTTATGGAACATTGCCGGCGAGTTCTGCATTCCAAATGGGGTCACTGTATATCGATAGTGACCTACTGAAATTGCGAAGGCAGAGATTTTCTTCACCTTATCTGTCAAGGGTACCTGATAGTAACCTGTCTGGAGATCTAGTCTGGAAACAAAAGTCCAAAAATATGTCAGGGTAAGTATGTAAGAGTGCAGTTAGGTTTATTTGATTTTTAGACAGCCCTATCATTAAAGGGCTAGGGTCCTTGAGGACAGAATTAGGAAGTTTAATTTGAATTTCTGGAGCAGTGTGTAAATGATGGTGACAGATGGCAAAGCAGAAGCCAGAGAGAGTGTACCGTACTCAAACAGCAGGTAGGTAAGTCTGCTAAATGCTTACCACAAGTGAACCATGTTGGTTCAGCTTTGGCAGGCTTGCCTGTGATTGGTCAATAAATGAAGGTACTGATTTAATGACGGGTACCCTATTTATCGTGAAATCCTTAGCACCCTGTTTGTTGATTGGAAGGAAGCCTATACGGGAATATGACATACACCGAATAAATTATAACATACTCTTTGCATGCTACACCCCAGAAGGCAGCTAAGATGAAAATTCACCCACACAGGCGATCTTGAATCTCTCCAACAAATTCACTTTAAGCCAGTATAAAGTGGAGCCAAGAAGATTGGCAAAGGCACTTTACCTCATCTTCACTAATAATGATGATATGATGTCAAATATAACAGTATCAAAGAAAATATACTCAGATCATAGCATAATAGAAGTACAGACATGCATGTGCAGACCTCCTGACCAACATAAGGTGATCAGTTACAACTTCAGTAACAAAAGCATACAGAGAATCAAATCAACCATGTCCTAAATGAAACAAGCTGGGAGGATAACCTAAACAACACAGATCCTAACGTTTGCCTAGATAGAATTAACTCTATAACACTTGAGGTATGCACAAGGCACATTCCTTTAGGAAGAAAGGAGAGATGTAAACTAGAAAGAGAGAGATGCTCCCTACACAGGCGAAGGCAAAGAATCACAGAGCTGAAAAGGGGCCAGTATATCTGAAGTATGAAAGGAGGCACTGGTCAGAAAAATAGCAAATATCGAACTTAACCTTAACTTGAATAGAGAAGAAACACAGAAAGAACTCATAGCCATAAATGAAATTGAAAGAAACCCAAAATACTTCTTTTCTTATGCCAAATCTTGGGCAAAAGCAATATCTAGTATTAGACCCAGGCTTAGACGAGATAGGATTTACACAGATGACAACAAAGAAATAAGTGAGATACCGAACTCCTAGTATGGCTCATTGTTTAGTGAACCGCTAACAAGACTAAGAGTCGACGGTCTAAATTAATTTTTTATCGATGGAGACTCAAAATTTTATATCCTAATACAGCAAGACTATAAAAACAATAATTGACATGCCCATGCACTCTGCCCCAGGCCCAGACTCATCAAACTCCATGTTCATTAACAAGTGCATCAAGCCCCATTCACGTGCCTTAAGCATTCTATATAGAGGGAACATGGACACAGGGGTCATCCCACTAAAAACAACAGACAAAGCCACACTCCACAAAGGTGGCAGTAAAGCAATTGCAAAAAACATACAGACCGATAACACTAAAGTCCCACATGAAATCTTTGAAAGGGTTCTAAGATGCAAAATCGCCACCCACTTAGATACCCATCAGTTACATAACCCAGGGCAGCATGGGTTTAGACTACTATGACATAGTCTTGGATATTCTGAAGGACAAATAAAATGCATATGTAGTATAAACAGACTTTTCGAAAGCTTTCAACACGTGCAATCGTGGTGTAATAGTACACAAAATGCATGATAAAGGAATAAAAGAAAAAGTTGGTAAATGGATCTATAACTTCCTAACAAACAGAAAACAAAGAGTAACTGAAAACAAAGTCAGAGGCGGCTACAGTGAAAGCCTCTGTTCAACAAGGTACAGTAAACCTAGCGAAAGCCCGCCTTGGCCAACTTTATCGATTCAAAGCAGCCCCTTCCCACATCAAACTACACCTGTACAAGATGATCAGACCTCTGCTGGAATACCCTTGTGTACCCATGTAGCTTACAACCAAAACCAACATGCTAGAACTCCAAAGCGTCCAAAACAGATCCCTCCGCTTCATCACTGGCACCAGACTCAGAGACAGAATCAGGACCGAGAACCTACACATACAACAGAGAATCACTGCAATCAACGTCCGGCTAGACAGACTAACGAAGAGACAACTATATGACATGCAGGAACTCTATGTACCTGACAGAGAGAAACCCCCCACCAACCAGCGAACACGACTGGCTACACCATTAGCACCCCTCCTCACAGATCCCAAAGAATGACCCTCCAGCAAAGAGTTCCGCGCTTCATCCACAAGGAGAGCATCCCTCGACCGAAAATCTTAAGCGACCTCCCCGTAGAAGAAGAATGGATACCACCGGAACCATTCTACATCCAGTAACATGGACTAACGCTCCCCATTTCTGGGTGACCCACTTCTATCAACCAACACCTCACAACTAACCTTGAAACACCTACAACTATACTCTAGCAGGACACCACCTCAGTCACTGCTTAGCCAGCCAACTTCAGGTGAGCAACCAACCTCCATCAAATGACCTGCAACTACCACCTGCAGCTGCGGCCTTCCGACCAACCTCTTGCGAAAGAAAGAGAGAAAAAAAGGGCAATTGCAAACAGTATGCATCCTTCCAATTCAGTGGCACACTGGTATACAGACAAGATAGCAGTGTGCAATTGATGGGCAGGAGGTATACCTCTCTCATAAAATCAATCTCTTAATGAATTACTCAGTATGCACACATGCGTATTTAAATTACACCAAAGTGGACAGGCCACTAACCTTTTAGACCCCACCTACCCCTCCACCCTCCCCAACCTTTCCAACATTCCATCCTTACCCATCCTTCTTCCTCCCCCATCTTACCAAAGCTCTGGTCAGAACCTCGTTAACCTCGTTAAGGTACAGCACTTGCTCCCATCCTGTTCCTCATCCTCATATCTGATCTGACACAGACAGACATGTAAGCAACAGCACCATGTCTCCCATTGCAGATGACACCTGAATTTGCATGACAGTGTCATCCATCGAAGACATTGTAAGTCTCCAAGCGGACATCAACCAAATCTTTAAATGGGCCACAGAAAACATTATGAAGTTCAATGGATTCATATTTCAATTACTCCGCTATGGAAAATTCGAAGAAATTGGAACTGTATAAAACAAACTCCATCCACACAATAGAGCGATAAACTAATGTGAAGGACCTGGGAGTGATAATGTCAGAGGATCTCACTTTAAAACCCATGACCCCTGGTTTCCATTAGCAATGTAGAATCACATACCTTGTCAAAATGGTTGGTAAACACTATTAACTCCTTTGCTTGGCAACATTTCTGAATCCCAGTTAAAAAACCAAAGTTGACCTCATCGACAAATTTCAAAATATAAACATGCCTAAGGATTTTACAGTAGTAAGTTTTAATGTAACTGCGTTGTTCACGAGAGTCTCTGTCCCCGACTTGCTATCCTATTTGGAATAAGAATTAGATGAGTTCTCTTTGCCTTTTGATAAAAAATACCACTATTGAATTGATTAAGTTGTGTGTAGTTGACTGCAAGTTTAAGTTTGAGGGGAAATACTATACTCAAAATGGCTATGGGTGACACGTTGTTCCCCCAATTGAGCAATATGTATATGGAATTTTTCGAGGCTAGACTGTTGAAAGATATCCTGCCATGCAGAGCTAAATGGTTCGGATATGTGGATGACATCTTGTGTCTTTGGCCAAATAATATGGCTCTCGATACATTTTTACCAAGACTTACTGCTTTGGTCCCATCTATTAAATTCACCATGGAGAAAGAGGTGGGCAGTAAACTTCCATTCTCAGATGTGCTGATACACTGGGTTGATAGAAAGTTTAATTACGTTTGCAGTATATAGGAAGGTCACCAATGTTTGTTCATACATTTACTACTATTCCAACCATGAGATGAGAGATCAAATGAGTGTATTTCGTACTGTGTTTCCGAGAGCTTATCAAGTGTGCAGTCCGTAGTTCCTAGATGAAGAAATTAGGAAAATATTTGACACTGCCATGAAACTGCAGTATCCTGAGGAGTTCGTGGAATATGCCTTGCTGGCAGCCTAGGATAACGCCTCAGACCAAGAATGTGCTGGTCCTCCCATACAATGAAAATTTATGTATCCTGCCAAATGCACTTAAAATATTTAATATACAAGTAGTTTTTAAAAATTCATAGACTGTTAGAAGCATTCTGACAAAGAATTCACCCCAACAGCATGCTGGTGGTGTCTACAGAATTAGTTGTAATGACTGCAGTCTTTTCTATTTGGGGCAGACTGGAAAACCTCTTGAAGTAAGAATTTCACAACACCGTTTTTGATACGTATAGTACAGGAGTCGAACGTGATTTTCAGCCACATTAGAGCTTGTAATAACCCAGAAAACTGGCAGGAAGCAAGAGTCATCTTCAATTGTTCTTCTCGTCCTGAAAGGAATATTGTACATCGGCAATTATTAAGCATGATGAGCATTCATTATACAATATCAGTGTTAGGTTGTTCAAATTAGATGCATTTTTAGTTGAGGCAATAGTACACAGTCAAAAATTGGATTCTTTTACGAATGCATTGGATTGTAGTGCCACACCGAGGAATTAGGGCCTATATTTCCTGTTTCTTTTCTGAAGGTTGAACCCGATTATTATTATAATCAAAAAGAAGCGCTAAGCCACAAGGACTATACAGAGGTTGAACCCGAGTTTACCTCAAAATCCTGTGGGATGAATAACTGTGGCAGTTTTTCTTGTAATTACAGATGTTTCCCCCTTTAAATGAGTTTATTTTAATGAGCCCCGTATCCTTTGTATAACATATAGAGTCTCTCCTTTAAATGGTCCCGTTTTCTCGTGTGTGTTTATTCCATAGATAATTGCCAGTGACTTTTATATCACAGGCAATATTATTATTTACTTAAAATTACTTATATCATAGCCGAGTCTGAAAATTTTTTTTGACAATTGCCATGTTGCGTTCGTTTAGGCTACTATTACAATATCAGTGCTTGTGGGCTTTTCTAATGCTGTAATATTCAATCTTTCTGGCTATTGGCACTGGTATGCCTGGGAGCATGTCCTGTTCCTTTCTCTCTTTCTCCCTCATTCCAGTGAAGACTTACCCTGGGATCGTGTTTGCTTAGACATCCTCCTCTTTTCTGCAACTTTGCAAGCTCCTGATGATGTGTTGAGTGCTGAGTAAATTAAAATATATTAACCCTTGTTAAGTTGTTGTTAAACTAAAGAAAATTATAGAAGTTACTAAGCCAGATAGAAGCAATGTACTAGAGTTTAACTGACACTAAAACCTTTACCGATATTTTCCTAAAAATGTTACTTAGAATTAAGTTTTTGATATCTATTTTTATAACCTAAAGAGGGAAGAAAAATATATTTTTTTTTTTTTTCGTCTTTAGTTACGTTTTCAGTTTTCAGCCAGTGTAACAATGATCAAGAAAATCGGAAATATATTTATATAATGTACATCCCAATTTTAAACAATTATTCCAAAATACTTATCCTCTACATTAAATAAAAACTAGATTACAAATATCAAGGTAAGTGACAAAAACAACCATATACGTGAGGGACACAAACTATCAAGAGGAAGACTTACTTATATGGTGTAATATAAAATGTTATAAAATATTTGGAAATTTTACCTTGCTGCTGAAGCTTGAAAGAGAAACTTGTATATGTTTGTGATTGTGTAGAAGCTTCTCACAGTGACACAGAGCTGAGAATCGATCACTATCAACTGAGCGAGAAGCAGAAGAATGAGTCAAGATCAGATCAGATCGGACTCACAGGTAAGTACCCACGAGGGGCGAGGGGCAAGTGGGGACAGTGCGAAGAATAGACGGGGAGAGGAATGTCTTGAGTCGAAGAGAGAAGAGTCAGGACTAAACCCAACTGCTAAGCCTGGATAACAATGACGAAAGACGATGTAGAGACAACAGGAACTCTGTAGGAGCTGACTGCAACTTGCTGGATGGAAGATTACTGCTTCTTGATGGTGATTGGTGGCTGCAGGCGACAAGGGAGGAGCTCAACGTTGATTGGTCTTTTCATAATGGCTTGGTGGTTATTTGGAATTGTGGCGTTTTTTTACGAAGTAATTTTCCGTGGTAAGTGCTGTTCCATTTTCAAGACGTTTAAATTGTTGGAGAGGAATTATCATGAGACGAGTTAACAAGTGTCGATATCGAGGGTGTTTGATTAATTTTTCAGTATGCTTTATAAGTTTTGAAAGTTCAGTTTTACAATCAGTGGCGACATGTTCAACGTACTTGACTGTTTTTTGGATGAGGTGAGATTTGAGTTCAGCTGGCTCCATGTCTTGAGGATAATTTGCTGTGGTACAGAAGGATATTCCACCCCAATCAATATACTTGTCGGCATCTTCATCTGGTACAGTATTGAATCTTGGGTCTTGGGATGGTAGTTTTGGAGCTGGTGAATGTACATTTTCTATTTCTATTTCACCTTCAATGGACGAATGGGAGGATGTTTCTGGTGGAAAGGCTTCTGATTGGTCGGTTTCGTTGAGGAGTGGAGGTGATGGAGGCTTCTCATTGGACGTTGTTGGAGTGACGTCACTAGTTGTTGATGGTGTTGGAGCTGCAGGCGTAGAGGTGTTGATTAAGTCCTTGGTGAATTTTAGTATTTCTTCCGAAGGTGGAGATGCTGGGAATATAAATGATGGCATATTATTTAGTGCAAATAACTCGTTGATGGTCGAGTTAAAAGATCCAGGTACAGCCATATTTTGCATGTGAGCGTATATGAGACAGTAGTGGATCTTGGTTACGTCACAAGCTGGAGGAGTGATGATGGTGGAGGCTGGCTGAGTAGTAGCTTGAAGTAATTTCGTAGTATTAGCTTGGATTTTTGCAATTGCTGCATACGTTGGTGTGTTGCTAGTAGGTTTTTTCTTTGCTGCTTCTTGTGTTTTCTTCACAATATCCTTTCGTGTAGGACATTTTGCTGCCAGTGTATGGTGGTCGTTACTTTTACAGTTTAAGCACGATGGTTGTGGTGGAGTAGCAATGGTGCAGGAACTGAAGGTGTGTCCCTCACTACCACATGTAGTGCAGAACTTCTTGTCTTTTACTGGACATGCTTTGGTGGTGTGATGGTAAGAATAACAGTTCCAGCAGTGTTGGATGTACTGATATCTCTCTGCTTCGATGTAAGTTGGACTGATGAAGTAGTAGTAAACAGCAAGACCTTCGTTCAGGGCAGTGGCAGCCATGTTAACGTCGGTGAAGGTGACCTTGAGCATGGACGATGCATTCGGGATTTTTGTGATGCTGTCAACAGTAGCCCAAGTATTTTGCGTCTCGATGGATGTCTTGAGTTCTGCAGGTGATTGAGATGTCAGAATCTTGTCTAGTTTTTTAAGGAATACTGATTTCCTGGCCTTGAGGGCAGGAGATGACATAACAGTAAACCCTTGAGCAGTAAGTGTAGTGGTGGCATCTGTAGTGAGTAGCTTCTCTGCTTCAGCATCATCGTGACACACAACAATGAATGCTTCTTTCAGAGACAAAATGGTGTTGAATTTAACTTTCAGTGTTCCTTGAACAGCAGTTGCAAGAGCAATCTTCGTTGAATCATCAACGGTACCACTTGTTGGCTTGATCTTGACACGATTTGCGTAGCTCATCGTGCAAGTCAAGGTGAAGACAACGCTGGTAAAGGTTCCCCTCCCCAACGGGGATCGTAGGGAGACAGAGTAAGTAAGGAGAGCTGCTATGACCTGCCAAGGCAAGAGTCAAGAGCAGAATCTCTGTTGTGTGATGTCTCGAAGTCTCTCTATGAGTCAAGCTGGACCCCTTCACTTCTTTTATGGGAGAGCCGAGCTACACACTCGCAGCCTATTGGCTACCATCATCAACCTAAGATCACTCTAGCGGAAAGTGATTGGTGCTTTCCAAAATGAGAAGGGAGATGATTGGTGCTTCCTAACATGGAGCGTGAGCGAAGACAATTCTATTATCACTTGACGTTTAATATGTGTTTGTGTGTACACGTCCGTTTGTGTTTGCAGGGGTCGAGTCAGAGCTCCTGGCATGTGTGTGTAAATATGCAAATATATGTATAAATATATATATATATATAATATATATATATATATATTATATTATATATATATATATATATATATATATATATATTATATATATATTAATATATATATATATATATATATATATATATATATATATATATATATATATATATATATATATATATATACATATATATATATACATATATATATATATATATATATATATATATATATATATATATATATATATATATATATATATATATAAAAATATATATATATATATATAAATATATATATTTATATATATACATATATATATTTATATATATACATATATATATACGTATATATACATATATATATATACGTATATATACATATATATATATATACGTATATATACATATATATATATATATATATATATATATATATATATATATATATATATATATATATATATATATATATATATATATATATATATATATGTATACCAATCTGTTTTGCATGATGGTAGGATTGCTGGTTTCTTTTTCTGTCTCATAAACACGCTAGATAACAGGGATATCTTGCTACTCCTACTTACACTTTGGTCACACTTCACAGACACGCACATGCATATATATATACATACATCTAGGTTTTTCTCCTTTTTCTAAATAGCTCTTGTTCTTCTTCATTTCTTCTATTGTCCGTGGGGAAGTGGAAAAGAATCTTTCCTCCGTAAGCCATGCGTGTCGTAAGAGGCGACTAAAATGCCGGGAGTAATGGGCTAGTAACCCCTTCTCCTGTAGACATTTACTAAAAAAGAGAAGAAGAAAAACTTTATAAAGCTGGGATGCTCGAATGTGCGTGGATGTAGTGCGGATGACAAAAAAACAGATGATTGCTGATGTTATGAATGAAAAGAAGTTGGATGTTCTGGTCCTAAGCGAAACAAAGCTGAAGGGGGTAGGGGAGTTTTGGGGGGGGGAATAAATGGGATTAAATCTGGAGTATCTGAGAGAGTTAGAGCAAAGCAAGGGGTAGCAGTAATGTTGAAGGATCAGTTATGGAAGGAGAAAAGAGAATATGAATGTGTAAATTCAAGAATTATGTGGATTAAAGTAAAGGTTGGATGCGAAAAGTGGGTCATAATAAGCGTGTATGCACCTGGAGAAGAGAGGAATGTAGAGGAGAGAGAGAGATTTTGGGAGATGTTAAGTGAATGTATAGGAGCCTTTGAACCAAGTGAGAGAGTAATTGTGGTAGGGGATCTGAATGCTAAAGTAGGAGAAACTTTTAGAGAGGGTGTGGTAGGTAAGTTTGGGGTGCCAGGTGTAAATGATAATGGGAGCCCTTTGATTGAACTTTGTATAGAAAGGGGTTTAGTTATAGGTAATATATATCTTAAGAAAAAGAGGATAAATAAGTATACAAGATATGATGTAGGGGGAAATGACAGTAGTTTGTTGGATTATGTATTGGTAGATAAAAGACTGTTGAGTAGACTTCAGGATGTACATGTTTATAGAGGGGCCACAGATATATCAGATCACTTTCTAGTTGTAGCTACACTGTGAGTAAAAGGTAGATGGGATACAAGGAGAATAGAAGCATCAGGGAAGAGAGACGTGAAGGTTTATAAACTAAAGAGGAGGCAGTTAGGGTAAGATACAAATAGCTATTGGAGGATAGATGGGCTAATGAGAGCATAGGCAATGGGGTCGAAGAGGTATGGGGTAGGTTTAAAATTGTAATGTTAGAGTGTTCAGCAGAAGTTTGTGGTTACAGGAAAGTGGGTGCGGGAGGGAAGAGGAGCGATTGGTGGAATGATGATGTAAAGAGAGTAGTAAGGGAGAAAAAGTTAGCATATGAGAAGTTTTCACAAAGTAGAAGTGATGCAAGGAGGGAAGAGTATATGGAGAAAAAGAGAGAGGTTAAGAGAGTGGTGAAGCAATGTAAAAAGAGAGCAAATGAGAGAGTGGGTGAGATGTTATCAACAAATTTTGTTGAAAATAAGAAAAAGTTTTGGAGTGAGATTAACAAGTTAAGGAAGCCTAGAGAACAAATGGATTTGTCAGTTAAAAATAGGAGAGGAGATTTATTAAATGGAGAGTTAGAGGTATTGGGAAGATGGAGGGAATATTTTGAGGAATTGTTAAATGTTGATGAAGATAGGGAAGCTGTGATTTCGTGTATAGGGCAAGGAGGAATAACATCTTGTAGGAGTGAGGAAGAGCCAGTTGTGAGTGTGGGGGAAGTTTGTGAGGCAGTAGGTAAAAATGAAAGGGGGTAAGGCAGCCGGGATTGATGGGATAAAGATAGAAATGTTAAAAGCAGGTGGGTATATAGTTTTGGAGTGGTTGGTGCAATTATTTAATAAATGTATGGACGCGGGTAAGGTACCTAGGGATTGGCAGAGAGCATGCATAGTTCCTTCGTATAAAGGCAAAGGGGACAAAAGAGAGTGCAAGAATTATAGGGGGATAAGTCTGTTGAGTATACCTGGTAAAGTGTATGGTAGAGTTATTATTGAAAGAATTATGAGTAAGACGGAGAATAGGATAGCAGATGAACAAGGAGGCTTTAGGAAAGGTAGGGGGTGTGTGGACCAGGTGTTTACAGTGAAACATATAAGTGAACAGTATTTAGATAAGGCTAAAGAGGTCTTTGAGGCATTTATGGATTTGGAAAAGGCGTATGACAGGGTGGATATGGGGGCAATGTGGCAGATATTGCAGGTGTATGGTGTGGGAGGTAGGTTACTGAAAGCAGTGAAGAGTTTTTACGAGGATAGTGAGGCTCAAGTTAGAGTATGTAGGAAAGAGGGAAATTATTTCCCAGTAAAAGTAGACCTTAGACAAGGATGTGTGATGTCACCGTGGTTGTTTAATATATTTACAGATGGGGATGTAAGAAATGTAAATGCGAGGGTCTTGGCAAGAGCCGTGGGGTTAAAAGATAAAGAATCACACATAAAGTGGGAGTTGTTACAGTTGCTCTTTGCTGATGACACTGTGCTCTTGGGAGATTCTGAAGAGAAGTTGCAGAGATTGGTGGATGAATTTGGTAGGGTATGCAAAAGAAGAAAATTAAAAGTGAATACAGGAAAGAGTAAGGTTATGAGGATAACAAAAAGATTAGGTGATGAAAGATTGGATATCAGATTGGAGGGAGAGAGTATGGAGGAGGTGAATGTATTCAGATATTTGGGAGTGGACGTGTCAGCGGATGGGTCTATGAAAGATGAGGTGAATCGTAGAATTAATGAGGGGAAAAGGGTGAGTGGTGCACTTTGGAGTCTGTGGAGACAAAGGTTGGAGGGAGGGGGTAAAGGAGGTTTTGTGTGCGAGGGGCTTGGACTTCCAGCAGGCATGCGTGAGTGTGT